CTTAGTCTTACCCACTGCGGTGCCCAGCCACAGCAGTAACCTCCGGGCGACAATTGCAACTTCTCGCGCGAACCGCCGTCCCCTCGGATAAGAGGCCGACACGTTACCACTGTACTAGCCTAGAGGCTAGTATCGTGTTAACAGAGGTAACTCGCTGCTAGGCGAGTCTGACAGCACTACTTAAAGAATAGAGACCTGAGGAGGGGGGAGGGCAGGCATTTTTTTCAGAGCGAGTGCCAGATTAGAATTCTAGGCAGGCCTTAGGGAGGAGTAACAATGTGCATATGTATATATATATACATATATATATATATATATATGTATATATATATATATATATATATATATAATATATATAATATATATATATATATATATATATATATATATATATATATATATATATATATATATATATATATATATATATATATATAATATACACAAATATATATATACATATATAACAAAAAAAAAAAAAAAAACATGCAAAATATATGCAAAAATCTGAGGGAAGTGCATGTATGGGAATTTCACCCATATGTTCATACAGCTTATTACAAATTTCCCCAGATTGACTCTGTTCCCTCTGTTTCTGCATCTGGTAATTCATATCCCTACCACAGCACGTCTATCTACATCTCTTTATATCTTTCCATTATATAGACTCTAAACAAGATATTAAATCGTGTATTTATTCTCTACTAGAATCATTCACAGAGAAAACATGAAACTTAGCATGTAAGTACATTAGATTTATTGATAATAATATCAAAATTGAACACATGAAATAAATGCACAGGAAAAAATGCGTTTTACATTTTTCAATAATTTTCCATGATCAAATGAAATATTAAGAATATGCAGTCACTACTTTAGATATATCTATATGTGCACACTATGAAATCATATGTGCTTACATCATAAGACCATTTACTCAAACCTGTTGGCCCATTATACTTTAATCGAAGAATCGAAAAATATTCCAATCACGAACTGCTCCAACTGCCTTATGTACAAAAATGTCATCAGACTAATTGCCAGTCAAGGTCCGGAAGAATTTTAGGGGCACTGATAGTGCAAATCAGTAGTGGAAATCTGAAATAGAACCTGAGATAAAAACAGATATTTAAATAAAAACTGTATGGTATACTAGCAACACAAACACACACAAAATAATCAACGAAGATACTGGCAAAGGGGATGCTGATTGTAAATCTTTACTACTGCAAAGTTGTTGGTTGTCAGCAGTCTTGGTGCTTAAGTTATTTTCGAACACACCGCGGTACTTAGACATTTCGTATCTTGCAGTTTGTCTGCGGGCCTCTGCCGATTTGGGTATTGTCACCCATCACTCTTCAGGCAGAGGCAGTTCTCACTTTCCTTCTTGACCTGAACAATACATCGGCATGGCATAGGATCCACCAGACTCTGAAAACGAAAAACAGTTCACATCTGCACTCTATTTTGCAGAGAAGCACGCAGGCTTCATTATACATATTAGCCCAGATGTGTACGGCGTAGGTCTGCCCGCCTCCAAGGCTACTTCAGAATAGTAAAACAAGATTTAGGAATTTCTTAGGCTACCTTTGTTGCCTGATGCCTCTCCAATATTGACCGAGGGGCTACTCGACAAACTCTTCATCAATGGGATTATCAAGTCTATGCTCCGGCTGCGATTCCGATGTTCTGTCCATAGTAGCTGCATTCATTTTGTAGATCTAGCCATATACGACAGTAGGCCTACTCTTTTTACTACGGAAAGATTTATAAGACTGCACTATATAGACCAGAGTTTATAACGAATCTATTGGTTTATGTTCAACTTAAGCATGGGGATGGGTGCGTGCGTGTGCGCCCATGCTGTCCATTTCTTTCATGGCTCAATCTCTTCAGCCACCATGCCCATTTGGAGTAAAAGGCAATCCAGCCATCTTATGCATTTTTCTCTGCATTTCTGCCTGCACCACGAGTCTCTTTTGTGATATGGTAAGCATTCAGCTTATTTGGATAATGCAGACGGCTGGAAATTCTTATTTTTTGCAACCATTGTGAAGCAGTTGTGGTGTGTATGCATTGCTTGTACTTTTATTTATTTATCAGATTACTGGGAATCCCCAGAAACTTATAATGAGCATACCCAGCATCCAAGTACGACCGTTCCAAGTTGTTGATGTGATGTCAGGAGTCCTTTCATTATCAAAAACTGAAATAATTTTGGTATATATCTAACTGAATTGTGAGCAAATCAATACTTGGTCGTTAATCAGAAAGCATCTAAAAAGAGAATTTTTTTGTCTTCAATTGAGGATATGGTGTCTGGGGTTAAAAATTATCTTTTGCGAAAAAAAATTCTGTTGTACTTGTTATAACGTGAATTGGTCGTTGATTGGTAGGCATCTTAATAAGCAACCCCAGACATTTTGGTCTTAAATTACATTTATGTTCATTCTAAATGCTTTATCCATAGCATTTATCAAAATTTGTGTACTCCCTCATAACAAAAATCAGATTAGAGGGTCCTCATATCCCCTAGGATCCAATTACCCTTCGTCTTCACAAATCACAAACAAAATCACGATGTTGTAAATATGGAGTTAGGTTCACAAAAGTCTCAGCAAAAAGCAAACAAACAAACGAGTGTAATTTATGGGACCCTTAGGAACCAAATCCCAGTCGTCCCTTTCCTTCATTGGTAGGTGATTTCTAATAGAATTACGCCCTCGAATCTTTATTGCTCATCATAATTAGTCCAACGAGCTCTCCAACTATCTGTTCTCCATGGTCCCACACAAACCTTCACATCTGGAGGTATTTGCGGCAAACTATACGCAGTTGAAGAAGGCCGCGGCTGTTTTTCTTTGATCCATCTAATGGCTTCATATTCAATATTCTTTATTCAAGTTCGACATGCTGCATAGTTTATATGGAAATAAATATAAAATATACGTAACATATATGTTTCAGTGACTATATACCTTTTCAAATCTAATCTACATAATTTCTTAAAATATAAAACAAATATGGAGGTGTTTATGAATATGAGTATTGCAAGTGAGTGAATGTGGGTGTGTGTGTGTGTGTGTGGGGGGGTGCGTGCGTGCGTGCGTGCGTGTGCGTGTGCGTCCGTACATGCAGCGTGCGTGCGTGCGTGCCAATATTGCCGCTGGTATTGTCCACCCATAAACGTCCCACGAAAACATATAGAAGGCTAGAAAGTCCATTATGCCATAAAGTATCATTGACATTACTGATATTATGCCAACCTTGTAACTGTTACAACAGCAAAAGTTAGATAATTTGTAATACTGATAACTTGCTTACAGTATTAACATTTTGAAATATGGATC